TTATGTGTGTGTGTGTTGTAAAGTTGACTTATATATTTGCCAGAAATAACGACGATGCTGTAGCCGGATTTTTCTGCAACAATAGACGACGGTCGCAATTGCTGCTGCTACTTTTTCCCTACTTTTTTCCTTCTTTTTGCCTCTTTTTTTTCTCGTGCTACTCGATAGGTTTCCTATGAAGCTACTCCATTGGACGGCCTATGGGTTTATTACGATGGCGCGTCGAGATGTTGATGCAAGAGCCGAATCTATCCTCTAATAGCGTAAAGCAGCGTCGAACGAGTAGTATGCGATATACGTGCGCTACAACAACAACACTCGAATTCGCGTATAGTAGCAGCACAGGTACACGAGTACTGTCTCGAGAGTGCCTGATTAGATCTACGACGTGTTTCCTGGCTGCAGCTTTATAAGTTATGAAATCTGCCAATAGGTAGTATATATGCAGCTGCTGCCAAAGCGAGTACAAGAGCTGATTTAGCACGCACAGTCCCCGTCCCCGTCAGTTGGAATCTACGAGATAATAATTTTCCTTATCTCGCTCCAAACGTATCTGGATCGTTTCGTTCGCGTCGACTTGACCGGCGTACTTGGGCAGAAAATAACCCTGTCCCGTTTTTCGTTTCTCTCTTTCATTTTTTTTTCGCTCTCTCGAGTTCTAATTTGGTTTTTATGAGAGCTCGTGGGCACTTTTCCGCGTTCGCGAGCTCATACGACTCCTCGAGAATGTCACAGGCGTTAGTTGTAATAGTTGATGAGACACACACACACCTACATACAAAGTCTTTGGTAAGCCTCTCGCAGCTCTTGACGCACTCGCAAACGAACGCGCACATTATGCATACTTATATACCTGTACAGGCTCTCTCTGTGTATAGCATCTAACGATTCTCGCTTGCTGGCTTCATCTTATTCGCTCGCATGAGATGCATATTATAAGTAGTCTCTTGCTCGCTATCTCTATTTTTCTCAAATGTAGCACTCTGGCTCTATTTCCCTCTTGCGTTAACGGTCTTTTCATCTCTCTCTTTTATTTTTTTCTCTTTCTCTGCCGCGCGTATAGTTTGCTCTAAGTTGACGGATGGGTTCGTTGCACCTTTTCTCTTCTTTATTTTTTCTTACTTCTCGCGATATATTTACACTTTTTTTCAACTACCTCTCGACTCTCGACTCTGGACTTTTCCGTAAATGTGTGAAGTCTGTGTGTGTGTGTTTATATACGCGTTGCCGCAGTTTGCATTGCGTAAGATACATAAGCGCATAAACACCTCGTGCCATATAGTCGATCATTCGGTGCATTATTCAGTTGTGAATATGATTGTTACAATCTCGAGTATACGCGAGCGAGTATATGTAACGCGTATATATAGCCGCACAGCTAGCCGGCACTCGGAGAGTTGGAATGCAAACGGACTGACGTACTTTATACGTGCATATGCATGCGCTGCGCATGCCACGGCTCTGTATGGCAGTAATGCGGTTCGTTGGAGAAATATCCCGAGTGCGGAGAGCCGCCCCCCGTTTGTACCGCTCTCTGACTTAGTTCTGCCTTATTTACCAGTAATCGACGTAATTTTTATAGTATATTCCTTGCGCGCTTAATAACAAAAGGATTAGTCAGCGCGATATCGTTGAGAACGGGTAATTACTCATACGTGTCTTGTACGAGATGTGAATGCCACCAAAGTCTTTTCTGCATTATCACGATAATTGGGCTGAATGGCTCGACGATTCAGCAGCTTTTCTCGCAACAATCCCGAGCTCGAGATAAAAATTCTTTCATAGTGCAAGGTCAATATCCTTGCGCTGCGCCGATTATAACGCCATATCTCGAGCGACGAAGAACGCGAGGAACCTTGGCTCTGCGCGCAAACTACTTTTCTAATAAGCACGAGCCGACCCGTCGTCGAGTCACTGTCGCTAATTTTCTCGATAAACGAATAAATGGAGCGCGATCGAATTTCACCGGCGCGGAGGAGCATCGCGGGGCTCGGAGGATAGCGCCGAATTCTCCTCTCGAAAGTACTTTTGGCCCGCACAAAGAGCTGCTACTCTCTTGTATACACTCGAGCAAAGCTCGCTACACGGGCCCATTGTATCCGCATAACGCTCTCCGCATGGCCATGGCAGCGATCCTGCATGGGCGTTAGTTAAAGTCCAAAAGCTTCCTTGCGAGCAGCTGGCCAGCAGCAGCAGCAGCCGCGGCACTCGAGCCTTGAACGCAAATCCTCTCTCGAGCCCGAGCCGAGCGCAATTCCCTTTCACTGCGCGCGAGTCGAGCTCGAGCGAGCGAGCGCGAAAAAAGCCGCAGCGCGAGCCGACTCGTATACTTTATTTATAACTGTCGAGTGTGTAGCCGATATTATAGCCGCCGCCGCCGCCGCCGCTCTGCTGCGCGCCTTTTGCGGATCTTGTAATATTTCGATCGCGCCACTATTTTCGAGGACTTTGCCCCGGCGAGCTAGCTCCCACACTATCGCTCTCTATTATATCGATACGCTGTTCCGATGATTAATGATATGTATGCGGTTTTTCGCCGTGAATCACTGCATCGAGTCGCGATCTAGCTCGCCCTTTTTCTCTCTCTCTTTATTCTTCTACTTCTTCTTCTTCTTGTTCTTGCTTCGTTTTGTATCGAGCATTTGGATGTTCACGTGCGCCTGGCATGATTTATCCTCGTGATCGAATTATATTTCAATATCCCGCGTTGGCCGTTATTTTCGCGCGAGAGTATATGAAAAAAACCTCGCCTCTTTCACGACGAATCGCGAATCATTGCGCGAGATATATATTTTTTCTCCTACTTCTTCTTCGTAGCTGTGCGATCGGTTCGATCGAAGGCCAGGATTAAATGCTTGTTACGATCACCTATAATGTATGCAACTATGGGCGCTTGAACTTGAGGAAACTCGTGCACCACCAGCTCATTTGCATAAAATAACACTTTTCCATTTTACAGCTATAGCTATGCTTGTTTTCACATGAAAGTGCCATGCATCGACGCGACGGCTTGTGACATACGGGCTCTTAATTTGCCTTGGCCGCGACGCGACGACGTTGCTCGCAGTCAAACGACTGTATTATCGAATCGCGTGGCGCAACTTCTTTCGGCGGCTTCTTTCTCGCGGAGATATAGTCGGAGCTTGCGAAAGTCGAGCTTGCGATTGCAGCGCTCGTCTCGTTTTTCGAGCTTCGGAGCGCGCCGTGCGATTTCGTACACGTAACGCCGAGGAATAATCAAATTTAGCTGCCAATCGACGTCGCTAATAAAACGGAACGTACGTCCAAGTTTGACGTAAGCCACTTCTATACGATACGAGTATGTATGTGTGTATGTATGTATAGGTTGAGCTGGAGATCTATCATTTGCGACCCACTTTTCACGCTGCAGGCAACAAAAACAGCAGTGCTAATTACACTCGCCATCGACGCTCATTCGGTTATAAAGAAGTAAGACAATGGCTACGATTGCCTCGGAATCATTGTTGCAAAGACGATTGAAAAGAAAAGCGAGAAAAAAAATGGCGTATAAATAGTCAAGATAGGGTTGGAAATAAGAGTGGATTTTGAGTCGTCACCGAGGCTCGAGTAGTATAAAGCGCACCGAATAGAGAGAGAGAAAACGTGACTATCGGCTTTGGATTTGGATTTCAACGTCGCTCGCTTTATCTCTATAGATGTACGTACATTTAGACGTAAGTGGATGAGCCGCTCGTAGCCTATATTCGCATCCTCCTTGTGTGCGCTGCTGCTTTATTGCATCGAACTATGTATGCAACTTTGGTATAGGATATATAGGAGCGAGTTTATGTATGGATGCTATTGATGCATCGTAATCGGGAACGAAGATTCGCGCGATACATATTTAGCGAGCTGGACGGGAATTCATTTCATCTTATTATTGATTGGCCAAGCTCGCGTCCTCTCCACTACAACTGCGACTGTAAACAGCGAGTCTCATTGATGTTAAATACACATTAATTGATGAGACACTTGACTGGACGTTGCTACATATATGGGCTACTAATCGAGACTCATCGCGACTCGAGTGCGCTTGTAAAGCAGCGCGAAGATTCGAATTATCGTGCGAAATAGCTCGAGGATCGCTCATTACATAAAGAAAGTCGCGTTCGGAGTCGAGTTCGCAGCTGACAGGCAAACCTATATTATTTTTTACGAGATTCGTTGTGAATCGCAAATGCGAGAAGCTGGACGTGAGTCGATAATAAATAATGAAATAATGAACGACACTAGACGATTAAATCGATACAAGCACACACGATTGGCAATGATTTCACTTTTTCGAGTGGCTATCACAATCGACGGCATCGTTGTCGTCATCGAGCCTGCTACTCGCTCGACGCGTGTAACTCACTCTTCTAAAGCATGTGTGACCGCGCGAAGAGACGCCTCCATTTAACAGCTTAATGAGATTAAAAAAAAGCTAATTAGTAGCCGAAAATGAGTTGCGCGCTCGTCGATGATTAAAAGAGAAAAAAGCAGGATAGCCAATATACTAGTAACCAGCTCGACCGTTTCCTTTCTTCCGAGAGTCTACAAAGTAACGAGCTTCTCTCTCTCTCTATCTCTTCGGCTCAAGAGCCTGCATCTTCATATCGCACTGTGCTGCTATTGCTGTTTGTGAATTTGTATGTATGTGTGTGTGTGTGTGTGTGTATGGCTGCCTCATAGAAAGTAGAACAAACACTCGCTTCACTGCCGATGAAGCCTATATTATGCGCTCCGTTGTATCATTACTTCTCTCCTTACTTCCGTTAGTTGTTCTCCGATGCAGTTGCTGTTTTTTTTCCGCTTGATATCGTAATTGCCGATTTATGCAATTCTTTTCGTGAAAATTATTTTTGTCGTCGATCGAAGAGAAGCCGCACATTCACACACTGTCCTGCGTCCGATCGTTGCTTATATCACACACTCACTTACTTATTATCTCCTTTGTATTTTTCAATTTTATTTAATCGAAATGTATCTTCTGTTGACAGGATGCGAGAATACGTGGAAGAAAACGAAAAGAACGACCCACTGATCCACGCGCCCGACAAGAAAAACAATCCATGGGCCGAAAAGGGCAAGTGCGTGATCATGTAAAAGAGCCCGAAATTTCTCTCGTTACACGCTTGCCTCTTTGAAGCAATCGCACTCAACACAGCCCGACGATGCCTGACGACGACGACGACGCAGCAGCAGCAGCAGTGTTAGCCTCGTCTCTGGCCGGCGTCAAACGTCCGCCCGACGCCGTCTGCTGCCTCTGGCTGAGCCATGAGCAGCAGCGACAACACCACCACCTCCACCACTAGATCTAGAGAGAAACGACAGAGACGACGCGTAGTACAGACCAACGCCAAAGATCTACTTACGACTACATTTAATTACTACTAACGAATCGTCGGAAATTCGGGAGTCAGCGACACCCGAGCATTAAGCTTATTTACATGTAACCATGTCAATGACGATCATCAAAAATATTGTAATGACGGCGGCGATACTCTACAGTATAAACTTATATACGATGATTGATTAACCGAAATCAAGTCTACTCGACTTTTGCGATATAAGCGGCATTTTATATTAAGACATTTCTTAATCACCGATCACACCGATCGCACGAGGCACGTGTCTCGTGTTCCGACACACGAAGCTCCAATTCACTTTTTTACACCATCACTACCATCACCGCAAATTTATTCAAATCAATAATCGATTGCCATTGCTGTACACATATTACAATAAAACTAACGATATGTTAAGCCGTTTCACACCTCCTATTTCTGAGAAAATCGACATAGAAAAACAAGAATAACGCAAGGCGATAATTATTACTTACCTAGATATTTATAAATATTATATACGTGAATACCGTGCAATAATGCTGCCATTATTATTATATGTGAAGATGCGATTACATGTGAGAAACCTGAACATTATTATCTCCAAAGATAATTTCGACGACCAACTAATAAACAAGAGTAATCAAACAAAAAGTTCAATAAATAGCGAGAAAAAAAAACGATTTTAGTAAGGATCATAACGATAAGAACACTGCACGCGCACGACGAATCTTCGCGCACTCGTCGCACTACCGCAGCTTTTTTCTATGAAAAATGACGATGATTATTAATAAACGAGCAAATTACGTCGGCGATGATGAAAAACTAGTAGGCAAAAAATGTTTAACAAAATAATTCATTTTAAAACTTTAAATGAGATGTTTAAATGAATAATTAATAATAATGAAGGTAAATTTAAAAATTGATTGCCGCGAAGAGACTGCATAATTTGGAGCAGTCTGCTTCGGTCGAGATGATCTTTGAAAAAGATCGTCCTTTGCTGCACTCTGCAACACTCGTGCGTAACTTTTTTTCAAACTTGTATTAGGACAAAAATTTTTTGAGCTTGCACCAATATCATGATAAAATGTATAGTGGTCAAGAAGAGAATTACAAAAATGAAAAATTGTTATTAGGAAAAATGTACACGAGTCTTTGAAAGGGCTTCAAAGTGAAACAAAAATTAATCGAGACTATCATTTTTAATAAAATAAATAAAGAAAAAAATACTTAATTGTAATTGTAAAAAAAAAATTAAAAACACGTGGGTACAATTGATCATAAATATACGCGACGACGATTTATTAGACGATTGTTTATTAGGAAAAATTATTTACGCGGCGCTCGTTAACGTACTGTAGATGATACGTATTCGATTCCGATTATTGCGTAATAATTGCGCGAAGGAAAGGGTAAACGAAATTCATAACGACAACACTCGCGACGATCATTTTTCTACTGAACGATTATATATAAATAATTATAGAATGAGAAGAAAAAAATATCATTGAAAATATTCATCGTATTTTGCGTTCCTCTTAGTTCGCATAAAACTGATTATTCTATACATTGCATTGCGTATATTTAACATAATTCTTTCTATCGATACGGCTAATAAATCTCTAATTATAATAAATACGTGCTAAACATTTAAAAAATTTCTTCGATCGATATTCGATGTGTTAAATAGAGAAAAGCGCGGCGTACGGATTAAACATTTTCACTTATGTAATATTAGATAAAACAATTAGTAATGGTGATAAAATGTCTTATATGCAAAAGCGCTATTATGATTATTATCATTAATTACGTGTAGAGAGTGAAAGAGAAAGAGTAAACGTGTGAACGAGTGTGAGCTTGAGAATTCATGGACCAAACAAACGCGACCAAGTGCCAAAAAATTCACATCCAAGAGAGAGGGAAAAGAAGGGAGAAAGGACGCGTCGATCCTCAATCGCATTTAATACGCCTCCCAAGCGGGGTTCAAAACCCTTCGACGGTCCTTCTCGTTCGCGCTGCCGCTGGCCGAGGAAAAAAATCGGTTTATTTTCTCGTCACCGCTGCGCACGAGTTTGACACAGCCCCTCGACGAACAGAGTCCGTTTGTGTACGCGCCACTGTGTAATACTGTGTGGGTGTATTGTTTACGCTTTATTGTAACTTTGATAAAAAAAAAAGAAAAAGAAAAGAGACAAATGTGTGTCCGCCTGCGAGTGAATTTATGTATGATATGGCACACGCTGTGACCGCCGCCGCTGCCATGGATATTACAATTAAAAGTGAAACAGAAAAATGCGTGGATTGTGCGTGTGCGCGTGTCAAGTGTACGGTAAAAATATATATTGAGAGATAGAGAGAATGTACATGTGCCATTACTTCCAACTTTTCGTCATCGTCGGTTTACCGACATTAAATCTCTCGAGCGAGCTAAAACAAAAAGAGAACAAAATTTGAAAAAAAAAGACTTTTTAATTCAGTTTTATTATGAGTTATTTCTTACTTGCTTATTCGACTTATGTATTATTTGTTATTTTGTTATCAATGTGATATTGTATTAATTTTCCTGATTTATTTCTTCTTTTACTTTTTAGGATATTTTATGGTACTTTTTAAGTGTAAAAGATTTGGCAATCGTCGCCGTGCGATAATAATTATGTAATATTGATGATAAATTATAAATATATAAATATATATATTTAAGATAGATTGAGAGAATGATGATGCGCTCGCGCTCGCCGAGGGACATCATCCCGGCCGACGGACAACGGCAATAAATAATAAGTTCATATAAATAATAATAACATATAAATAAATAAAAATATATTATATATATAAAGTTGACCAACGTTCAGTCGATTTGTATTGAATAATCCCAAAGCTTTTGAGTGATATTTTTACTATTTTTAGTTTTATAAAGATGAAAAACGATGATGTTCCTCGGCGCCTGTGGCTCCGAACATATGATGCGCGTATACAAGCGAAGGTCTACTTTTTTCGTTCAACATTATATTACATAAATGCACTAGCTTCGATTTTATTGCAAGAGTATTATTTCTTATACTTTTCATAGCATTGATTGTATTAGTTATAGTGAAACGTATTTGGCTTCAGAGTATTTTTCGTATTTAAGTCTATCATTTAAATTATACATAACGACGTATTGTATACTTATATGAATTACGTGTACTTGGTTCAAAATGTAAGATTTAATGAAAAATTGATGAATAAACAAAAATGATCATAGCTGTGCGTCGCGCGCCAGTTTTTCAATTGTAAGCGAAAAAAAACGCGTAAATTATTATATTATACATACATACATAACATCTATTTTCCTATAATTTAATCTCGAAAAAAATGTTGTCACTCTAAATAGCTTTATTATACGAAAAAGTAAAGAAAACAAAATTTTCAAGGTGAAAATCTAAATTACGAGTAACAAATTTTCATCAACTATTGTGTATTGAGTATACCATTAATATTTTAGTGTATCGACATAACTCTACGTAGCACTTGTGTCACGAATAAGATCTGGGATTTAACAAATTGAGCGAAAAAAGAGGAAAATACAAAACTCGAAGCACGAACGTATGCCAAGTCAATGGATACCGAGGTAAAGGTACGCAAACGCAGAAAAGCGAATTAGCGTCGACTCTCGGTAGAACGTTGAGAGCAAACAATTACGATTTGTTGTAGGCAAAATTTTTCTCACAAGGGTTAAAACAGAAATTCACACTTGTATCCATGCGCTGTATAAGTTGTTAAGTCGTACTTACTACACATGTAATAACGCGAGCGGTTTCTTACGAAAATATAATGTCGTATTTCGAAAGCTATATATTATACATGAGTCTGTGTGTTTTCTATTGCAATTCCACACTCGGCGCGCACACCAAGAGCAGCATCCATCCATCCGTCGATCCTCACCTACTTTCAGTCGTTCCTCTCGCGGCTCAGCGAGCCCATACATAATGTAAAATTTCATCCGTAGCGCAATAAAGCGCCTCTCGTACTCGCACTTGCTTCTCGGAAGGTAGCTATATATATAATATGCGCGCGGCTCACAAGTAACCAAGCTGCGGATGACCGGCCGCAATGGGAAAAACGAACGCCACTTGGCAAGGCAAATATTTCCTCTCGATCGAAGGGCAAATGATAATCACTGCGTGTAATAATATCGCGTACTGTTCCATTAGCAGCCTCGGCTGCGATAATACGCAGTACGTACCTGCGCCGGAGCGAGCGTGTTGCAAGCCCCGCTCCTGTATATAATATGCATTTTAGATCGATGAAAAGATATACGCGAGATTTTATAATAATGATTGGCTTTTGTTCTTATTCTCGTGTAATAATTTTCATGTCTTTTTATTACGTGCGTGAGAGCTAGAAACGAGAGAAAGAGCCGCGCACTTGGTACTCGGTCGTGCGTCTCCAATGTAATGTCTGCACATGCATATGCGCGCTATTCATCCGAGAGAGGAAAATGTGCCGACTAGAAAATCGTTCCTTCGCAGCTGCAAACGTGTCGTTCGTCCTGCATGAGCTATGACACTTTTACCGTGAATTTCATCGGGTTGTTTCGCTATTCAAAGCAGATTTTATTTAAAAAGCCATCACAGCGCTTCGGGGAACTTTTTTCAACGTACGACTCATAATTTTATATGTCCAAAAATCCTCCTTAACAATGAGATTATTCTTTTAATTATTGTATGTAAAAATCGAATTTATGACTGTCGTAATTAACATTGGTATCGTCAATGATACCATCAATTTTATTAGTCACGAGGTTGTGCGAAGGCAAGGCTAATTTATTTAAAAGCGAAACAAAATGACTCATTATTTTTGGGCAATGAAAGTTTGCTCGGGCGAAAATTGGTAATTTTCATATAATTTTTCCCGCAATGTAAATGCGAAACGTGGGAATTTCAAGCACACTCGTATCGCTCAACCAGTGATCTGCGGTGTGGGAAACGAATTGGCAATATACTTAAACTTATTTTTGATCTCAATATTTGTGCAATTATGCTATTGTCGAGCTAAGTTTGACGCTTAGCCGACAACACACGTCACATTCGGTTGCATAGGTGTCGGAAGAACCTGTCGTTGAAAATGAGGACCAATTTCTCACGTAATATCGACGAAATTGCGCAACTTGTTAAAAGCAAGCCCAAGATGAACATATATTGATTTTTATAGTTTGTATAATATTGGTAAATTTTTACGATGTCAAATCGCACGAAAGTGATATGTAATAAAAAAAGTCCGATACACGGAAGTCTCGTCAGGATTCAATGGAAAAATCTCGGAAGAAGCTGACCGAACGAGCTTCCCTAAATTATGGCTAACTCTGATTCATCATCTACGCATCGCGTGATACTCTCCATAAATTTCCGCGCAAAAATCTAAACGGGCTGCGTTGCAGCAGCGAGGCAAAGTACGAACGGGCCGAGCTCTGGCTCACTACGTTGGCTGCCCATGGCGATCGGCGTTTCACTCTCTCGGCCGCACGCGTTCCCATTTATTTGGTCTGCCATTGGCCGTCTCTCTTACTCGCTAGCGCTGCAGTTGCCTTTCAACGTCTGTTGTATACCTTTGCGTTCGGCCGATATAATGCATGCACAACTTGGCCGTGCAACAAACTCCGCCAAACCGACTCGATTCCATTTTCCAGCGCAACTCTTCTGTACAATGCTTCGTTTTTCAGAATTCGCAAAGCTCGAAAACAGTTTGTGGTCGAAATGATCGCTGCGTCGAAAGACTAAATCGTTTCGAAAACGGAGAGTATCGGAGACTTGGGTCAGGCACGAGTCGCGCGTAAAAAGCAAACATATCGCCGGGATTTCTTCAGGTACCTATATATGTCGTCGCTACACGATAGTTAAAAGGAAAGGCGCTTAATTGTCGCGTATAGAGTATCGACAGGCAGTAGCAGTAGCAGTAGCGGTAGCAGCAACAGCAACAACAGCAACACACGTATCAGCGGTGGCAGTCGCGAGAGCGGCGAGGTGGCGGCGGCGGCGCTGGTACAACGAGCCTCGAGAGGGGGCGAAGAGAGCGGCGACCAGCTCAGCCATAAGCCAGCCAAGCTAAAGCTGTACTAAATTTCAGAATGATAGTTTCAGTGTTTCTCGAACAGCTGTCAGTGCTAGACTAGCTGTGGATAAGTGTCAGACCCTCGAGTTTTAATTCTCTTCTAAGCGACACCCAATTAGGAGTAACGATTTTTACCTTCGCGACGATTGACAGGACGTGATTTAACCGATTTTTCGTTCTTTGTTCGTTGTAAATAGTTTATGCTCAAGATCGAAGTTGTCGCCTCGTCGAGGTCCGAGTAGTATCCTTGATTTTCGTTGGCCGAATCGATCGAATCCCAGTTGAATCTCGTTGCTATCTCGTAGTGTGTAACAAGTGCCACCAACTGACGAGGCTTTGCTCGGCAAATCTTCGCTCAGTCGCGTGTGCAGCGGGAAAATCGTGCTGCTGCGAGCCAGATACACAGTTTCGTCGACGGCCAAGCTGCGCGCTGATTCGGCATCATGAGGGTGAAAGCGGTGAGTCCTAGTTTTTAGCCAACGCATTAACCTGTCGATAGTTTCGCAGCCTCTTTCATCCGATTTTCGGGCCGATTGTGCGGCTTACAGCAACTCTCCTCTAGCGATCGGTTTACTTTTGCGAGGCGCGCAATTGAATAACGAGTTTTGGGAATCGAGCGATCTCGCCACAATTACAAGTGCAGCTGGCACGTAAAATCGAATTACCGAGCGATTTGCGCAATAGCGGCCAGATCGCTAATGCACGCGTGTGCGCGCGCGTATCCGTTGCGTAAAGCCAAATATCGGAAAAACGAAAAGTTGTTGTGGAATTAGGCTCGAGACCGCTTGGGAGAAAACGTATACAACAAACAAAGCTCGAGGCGGCCCGAGTTTCCGTTTGATTTCGTATGTAGGCGCGCGAAACAATAAAAAGTTCCAAAAGATCGTTGACATGGCGATCGCGTATGCTCGCCGCATACGAGTCACATCGTTTCTTTCATATTTTCATGTTAGCCTCGCGCGTGCCTCATCGTGCATACGAACAAAAAAAAAGGAGAAAAGAATCGCACGAGTACGAGAAAAAACGAGTTGCGACGACTGTGCGAGCGCGCGCGTACGTGTCGCGGGAAGTTTTGAAACGACGACGTCGACGAATCGTTGCGAAATCGACTCTATAATCCTGCACGCGGTCTACCCCGCCCGCAGCTCTTTTCTCGCTTGGAAGGTCAATCGGATAATTTCTAAAAAACACACGTCGTGCGTGTGCAGTACGAGAGCATCGTCGGCGTGCGGTTCGCGAGGAGAATTTAAATGCTGCGCCCGACGCGCCGATCCGATTTCTTTCTCCGTGCTCGCGGCTGCTCGCAGTTATACTCTGGCTACGCGCGATCTGCAGTACGCCAGGCCGAAAACCGCAACGACAAAAAACCTCGCAACGGTTTCTCCGCAGCTGATTTGATTACCGCCGACATTAATTAGCCTTAATGACGACAGACTCGAGAGGCAGCTCGCATCGACTGGAGCAGAGCTACGCATCGTCGAGACGAAAGTACAGAAGATTTGGGATGGTTTTTTACCTTGAGCGATGGACGCTTTTACGCATGCACGCACGTGTCGTACGTGTCGCGCACTGCCTATATTGCAATGTGATCGAATCAATTACCAGTCGCCGCCGAGAGGTCGTCTTGAATCGCGAGCTGTGTGTTTGCTGCGAGAAACGCACATATCCTTACGAAATGCCCGGCAGCGCGACTCGACTTTGCGAATAAATTTTGCGAGCGCCCGACTAAAGATCCAGCCGCCGAGTCCTTGCGAAATTATTAAAATTTCTGCCATTTTCAGCGAAGCCGAGTCAATTGCTCGCGGGGCTTCTTTTTTTCTTCGCGTCGTCGCCTCCCAATCATGTTAATCCTGTAAAAGACGATTGCAAACGAATTTTCATTATGTCTGGCTTTGAGCGTTGCGTTAAAGTTTATAAGCGAATGAAGCGGGGTGAAAGTGCGTCTACTTTTTTGCAACCAACTCGATTTTCATATAAATTGTCATATAAAACGTAGGACGATTTGCATAGACTCTTTTTATCTATGTATTGTGTACACGCGACAGCTCAGCTGCTAGTTTATCGTTCATTAAGATGAAATTTCGTAAGATTATTTATCTTGTCAAGGTCAATCGGCGTCTCTTTTGCCACGAACAGGCGTGCGAGTCTCTTCTCTTCGCACACAATTAGCTCTGCGAGATTTTTCATAATTAACATCGTTGAACACGATGATGATTTACTCTGAAAAAACTAAATTAAAATTTTTATTGGAAAAAACATTACTACGGATTAATAATTAAAGCCTCTTGGCAAAAGTCAGTAAAACTTTCAATACCACCATAAAAGACGATCCTTTCATATTTAGCTAACTTACTCTCTGCAAATGCTTATTTGACATTAAAATCGCCAAAGATTTCTTTATTCAGATTATATATAGTTTAACACATTAAATCCGTTTCTGACGGATACATAAATTATGGAAAATTTTAGTTTCTATTTCTCGCTAAATATTAGCGCGAATACAAAACAGCTCGACGCTTTAAATTTCACTTTGCCTCGTTACGGCGAGCAGTTTTCTATTTTCCTCTTTTTTTAGATAATGCGATTCTATTTGCGCCGAAAAAAGTGCCTATTATTAATTCGGAAACGCGGCAACGGAACGATTTTTTCCGCCCTTTTTATTTGCGAAACACGCCTTCCGGCCCATCATGCCTCGACGCGCGCGCGCAACATTTTAATGCATTGTTCGAGCTCGCTGTGTGCTCGAGTCTAT